CCCCCCCGGTGCCGTGCTCTGCAGGGCGGCATAATTGAGTTACAGTTGCCTGATAGTGACCCGGCCGCCTCCACGGCCGCCCCCCACCGCCGCCGAGCACTCTTCAAAAACCCTGAGCAGTGCGGGATGCCAAAGCTAAGCTGCACAAGCATGCTTGCAAAAAAAAAACAAACAGGACAATATTTATGTTTAGATATAATTACTCACCCCCCTCCCACTTTTTCCCCTCTATAATATCATTTTCAACGTCGCTTGGCTTTGCTCACCCGCCGGCGGCGCTGCTGGGCGGAGAGAGGCGGCGCTGCCGGAAGGCGGGGAAGCTGGCCGCGGATCTATCCTCCCGGAACCGGAAGTGTGGCAATGGCTGCCGCAGACTTTGCTGCGGTCGCAGCGTCGACGCCTCCCTCTCTCTCTCTTGATCGCCACGCCACACCCCGCCCGCCGCCGCCGGCCCGGCTGCCGCAGCAGCGCCCCGCGCGCGCTCCCCTTTTTAGTCGTCTCTGCGAACGCCTCTGAAGGGCTTCTGGGCCTGCTTCAGCAGCAGCAGCAGCGTGCTTCAGCAGCCCCTGCTGCCTGCATGCCTGACGCAGCGCGCGCCGGGCGGGGGCGCAGAGAGAATGGCAGGGTCATCCCCCGCCGTGCCGGGCCGGGCCGTGCCGTGCCGGGGACCTCTTACTGCCGAGCTGAGTCATCGAGTGGCCGGTGCAGCTCTCCTCTTATCGTGCGGTGCGGCGGCGGTCAAGCACCCTCGTGTATACCGGGCGGGGGCGCCACCGGACGAGCGGCCGTGTCGCAGAGAGAAAAACGCTATACGGCCTTCCTTTATTGGCTGAGCGGGCGTGTCTTTTGTCGCAACTGCGCGGCCCGCGAAAGGGCGCACTTCACCCCTCGGAGGGGAGACTCTGGACCTTGCCGAGCTGCCGCTGGAGCCGCCGCCGCCGCCGCCGCCGCCGCCGCCACCGGAGCCCCAGTTCAAGGCGGCGCTGGGACCCCCCGCCCCCCGTGTGGTCTATTATGTGGCCCGGTGGAATGCGATCGGCTCATCAGTCGGTCTGCTGCTGGCGGCGACCCCTGCCGCCCCAACCTCTCGCCCTCTCTCTCCCTTCTCCCCTCTCCCCTCCCTCTCCCCGTCACCCTTTGCCTCCCTCTCGTCGCACTGGCTGCTAATGGAGTGGAACACCCCGCTGGGACCTGCTCCACCATAGAGAGGGATAGAGAGAGAGTCCCACAGTTTCAGCCGCCCGTTTCTGATTTGCCGTCGCTTTTCCGCTTTCCCCCTTCCTTCCCCGAGTGCTTTGTGCCCCCCCCCCCTTCCGTGAGGGCCCCGGTGTGCAAGCACTCTTGACCCACATGCCCGGCGCACAGCAGCAGCACCAGGCCCCTGGTTGCGGCCTGCTCTGGTCTGGTCTGGAGGTGAGTGGTGTGCATCCATCCTGGGCCCCCTTCCCTCCCTCATGCACACCGTCCACTCGTCCATTACCCCCGTCCCCGTGACGCCAGTCTCTTTAGCCTCAGTTCCCCCTCCTCCCACCTCACTACCCCGATTTTGTCCACTCACTGCCCCCCGCTACCGAAAGCTTATCGGCAACCCATTTATCATGTCGCACAGATCAGGCAAGCCCGGGTCCGCGTGTAGAGGAAAATAAAAATTAAAAAACGTGCCTTAAATCGCATGGGGTGCCTTGCTGCTGGGCGCGTGGAAGTGGTGGTGGTGGTGGTCGGGCTGGCGATTGCGCCCCCGCGTGCTGTCAATTTGCTGCCGAGGGTTTTTGTTTAACTTTTGTTCTGCGTCGTTTGACGGCCGCCGCGCCTGGTTTGGCGGCCACCCCTGGCTATGACCGGGGCTGGCCGGGGAGAGAGGAAGCGAAGCGGCCCAATAATCGCGGCCCGGAGGGTCACCCGCACCGTAACGTCCTAACCACGCGGCGGGGGTGGCGCCCACCCCACCA